CCATCCAAAGCAATATTTTTAGAGCCAAACATACACCAAGTGCTATTGGAACACAGAGCAAGACAGTGGCTAATTTTGCCCAGTAACAGGAAAAATGACATTGAAAATGGTGTTTGCGTTTTGCTTAAGAGATTGTCAGTAAGCAGTGGTGACTAGGGCTGGCATGCCAAAGTTGGGTGTGAGAAGAAATGGTGGTAGGAAGTCAAGAGCCACACAGAGCCACATGAAGAAATTTGATTTTAATTTGTTCCAATTTTTGCAGGGCTTTCAACTGGGGAATAATATGAGCAGATTTTCATATGGGAAAGTTCAATGGAGCAAAAGTAAACAGCAGGGAATTTCAGGTAGAGAGACTGGACAGAATGAAGCCTGGCAACAGTTATTATAATAATCAAAGTGAAGGATGGTGGGGCCTGGACTATGGCATAATCAATGAGGTCAGAGAAGAGGTAAGGATTTTAGGAGGTAAAATGGTATGGTGCATTCATGCAGATAGTAAAGGAAAGAGGGAAATTGATGAGAGTAAAATTTCCTAGCTTTTAAGGCCTGGTAGAGAAGCAATGCCATTTACTAAAAATAAACAATATAGGACACATGGCAGTGGCCAAGGAGGGAAGGGGGACAGACAAAGACTGTGGGTTTGGGTTCTCTTGAGTTTGAGGCATCTGTGAAACATACAGGAAAGAATTCCCAGAAGGAGCTAGAAAGCAGAGTCCCTCTAGGAATTGATTCAATACTTTAGATGCAGGCCAAGTCTAGTTTGGTGTCATTTGGGGTTTAAAGTCCTTTATGGTCAGAGATAGATCACAATTAAATTCAGAACACAGTGAACCTTTAGGAATTCTCCATAGGCAAAATTTTATCCTCTAAAACTTTACTCAAAAAATACCTAGATTCAAAAATTTCTCTCTCTGTCTCTCTCTGGTCTGATCTCATATCTGATCTGCAGATCTTTCCAAATACAAATCTGATCACAGCTCTCTCCTGCTTAAAAACTTGTAATAGCTTCTCATTGCCCCAGGACAAAGCTCAAACTTTCTTTATCCTCTTCCACTTATCATTACTATTGTTTTTCAATGTGGATGTTAATTCTTCCTAGGACTGTTCCTAACCCCTCAGGGCCAGGTCTCAGTGAAGTAGAAAGTATTGTAATCAACGTCTTACTTATTTACATTCCCTTCTACTAAGCACCTTATTTCTAGGTGCTAAACACCTCATCATTTACTGATTTAGAAGATGGTGCTGTGGAGTGGAATTGAAGGCCCACTGTGTGCCAGGCAGTTTGACAGGGGTTGAAGCTACAATGGTGAGAGAATTGAAATACAGATAAGCTCCAAATTACCTTGCTACAATTATATATGTTGTCTTATAAAGATTACATTGCTAAACATAGTTTTTAGGCCTATGAAACTCATGCTCCTGACAGTTTCTCTTGGGCTGACTGTACTATTCTTTGTGACTAAAATTGCCTCTGTTTACTCCCAACAAGACTACATCTTTAATTTGTCAGCAATATGATTTTCTTATCAGAGAATGAGAAATGGGGCTCTAAATCAAGCATCTAAGATGAAGGTGAGAAAGAAAGCATAGAAACTGGGTGAGGAAAAAAAAACAATATATAATTTTTATATTGGAAAGGCTGGGCATGAAATGAGCAAAAGAACAGGCCAATCAAGTCATGTGAAATTCTGTGCTGTGCTGTGTAAACACATCATGAGAAAAGTGCTAGTCATACTATGAAAATGTGTAAGTCCAGAACTATGCTCCATCTTCAAGAGACTAGAGGTTTGCATTTCTTGGAAGCATCGATCAGTGTAAGTACAAGTCGATCAAGGCTTTTGCATTTGGATTTAAATGTTAATCACAATTTATTAAAAATTTAAGGCAACAGTGAGAATGAAAAAAGTGTGTGAGTCTGTGCTTATGACAAAGAAGTCAAGTTGAGATCCATTCTGAAATGACTTGAGAATTGCATAATGTGTGAAATGTCAGAGAGCCATCTGGACAACAGACACTGGTGGTGGCACTGATGAGCTGGGGTTAGGGGTGCAACTAATGAACATTTGTTGACAAATCTCTGCTTTCCAAGATAAGAAACAAAGTATCTTTCCATGATGTCTGGCCATATAACAGTGCATCCAAACATTCCATTAATCATTCCACAGATAGATATAGTAATAATTATTATCATTTTCTATGTTTTAGTAATGCCGTTTAAAAAGATATACTTATTTGATTGTGGTAACAAATATATAAGATAAAATTTATCATTTTAACCATTTTTATGTGTGCAGATGTGACATTAAGTACATTTACATTGTTCTGCTGCCATCACCGCTATCCCTCTTCAGAATTCTTACATCTTCCTGAACTGAAACTTCTCATACCACTACACAGTGACTTCTTCATTGCCCCCTCCCTCAAGCCCCTGGAAACCACCATTTAACTAGGCATCTCATGTAAACAGAGTAATACAAAATTTGTCCTTTGGTGAGTGGCGTATTTCTTTTAGCATAATTTCTTCAAGTTGTATTCATATTGTCGCATGTATCAAAACTTCCTTTCTTTTTAAGGCTGAATACTGTTCCACTGTATGTATTTGCTACATTTTATTTATCTATTTATTCATCAATAGACATTTGGGTTGCTTCTACCTTTTGGCCGTTGTGAATAATACTGCTAAGAACATGGTGTACAAATATTTGCTCAAGTCTCTACGCTCACTTCTTTTGGGTATATATCCAGTAGTGAAATTTCTGGATCACATGATAATACTGTGTTTAATATTTTAAGGAACTACATGCTGTTTTTCGTGGGGGCTGCTCTATTTTACATTCCTATCAGCAATGCGCAAGGGTTCCAAAGAAGATACCTTAAAAACTGAAAGTTAATAGTAAAAATACTGCAAAATATTAAGAAGGAGAGCTAGGCTACGGAAAGCTGAGTGGAAGAAAGTTAACCAGTTTCATTCTCACTTTTTAACACCAGAAGAGCTTTTCAAGTGATATGAGTTTCAGATATGTCCTTCTATGGATCCCCTATGTTTAGTGGAAGGTATGGGTGTGGTATGGAAGGTGGGCTCTGAGGGGATCAGGCAGTGCCTGGGGCTTATAGCTTGCAGCCTGGGGCAGCCTCCCTCATTTACCTAAGTATGCCTTAAAAATACTTTCATTTACTATATGGCTAATATGTGAAAAATGCTAGGAAACACTCCTCCAAACTGTAGGAGTAAAGTTAGGATTAAAATCAGAAACAGATGCAAAAGCATAAAATATTTATTCAACAGTAAAATGTATTGAACACTTGCGCCTAGGATCTAGGTTAGACCGGAAATAGCTGGGAGATACTGTGGGGTAAATAAGAGAAAGAATTATACTTTCAAAAAACTTGGTTTCTTGAAGGTGAAGGACAAGCTAATAAGCAGTTACAGTATAGCATGGAAAGTAATCCATTGTGGGAAGGGGAACCAGAAAGTGTTGTATATAGCCACCAGTGCTCACCCATTCTGATCTTGAGATTGAAAAAGAGAGCTCTCTGAACTCTTCTCATTTTCCCTGTTGTGAGAAGCCAAATGAAATACCTGTTTTTCATTTTGTGGGATGTGGATGCTTAGGGTACCTTAGGCATGTCAGGAAAAAAATAAGCTGCCTGGACTGAGTGGAGCTGCTTATTAAAATTTTTAGTAGTGTTTGATGGACAAAGTCCATCAAACTTATAAAAAGCAATTGCATTATAATTGAGAAAAGAATTATAAAGACTCAAGGAAGTCATCCCTGAGGACTTCTTATATCTGAACTCCAGGCTGAGTTGGGTTCTGGTTCTCTCTGCTCTCAGCACCCTAGGTTTATTTCTCATGGAAGCACTTATCACCCAGTACTGTCATTGTCTGGTTACTTATTGGTTAATCTGTTTTGTGCTGTTATAACAGAATAGCTGAGATTGAGTAATTTATATAGAACAGAAAATTATTTTCTCACAGGCCTAGAGACTGATAAGTTCAAGATCAAGGCACTAACATTTTAAAGGCCTTCTTGCTGCGTCCTCACATTGCCGAAAGTGAAAGGGCAAGAAAGCAACTTGGCTGAACACTTTCTGAAGTCTCTTTTATAAGAGCTTTAATCTATTCATGATGGAGAAGCCCTCTTCACCTAAACACCTCCCAAAAGGCCAACTTCCCAACACTGTTGCGTTGGAGATTAAACTTCCAACACATGAATTTTGGAGGGTTGTTCTGACCACAGTACGTACCTAAACCTCCCACTTCACTCTACATGTCGTGGAGGCAGATATTCTACTCAGAAATGTTTGTGGGAATAAGTAAGTGGAGCAGTAAGATAACTGTAAAACAACTGGGACCATTTACATGAAGCAGCCAAGATACCCGTAATAACTTGGAAAAACCTACTCTGGAAAAGTAGACATTAAGTCTCCATTGTTGGGGCTTCTGACAGCTATGGCATGGTGGCATAGTACTACCATAATTCTTCTACTCTAACACTTTCCGAAATACATACCCTTTTAGGTTTTTTCCCTAAATTCTCCCTCTTTCTTTTTTCCCAATCAATAGAAGCTTAAATGTCTATGTGCTGCAACTGAGTTCATTGTGTTACTGTATTTTTTGTTAAATGTGTATAATTTGAAAACAAGGCCTAGAAATACTGCCATAGTTTATCTGGAGACATCTTAGAAGATTATTATTATCATTAGCATAATTACCTACTTTCTATCCAATGTGCTTCTTCATATTATACATATTTTTGACTTGAGATAGATGGATGACAGAAGGGTCTCGTTTAAGCTTTTCTGTTTTTAACTAGAAGCAAGATTATTTCTAAAAAGTCAGTAAAGAATATTCCAAAGGAATTGAGGAAAAAGGGGATGAGGACTTCAGCAAAACATACTTTGGTAACAAACATTTTGATATGAAATTTTGTAAAAGTACACACATCCTGATGGGAAGAGAATGAGTAATTTCTTTTTAACTCAGAGCAAGTGTTCTAATCTGGCTGAAATTCTGGGAAGTGCTGGAAATCCCCAAAGCAAACTGCCAGATGCCATTTCTGGATCCTGGATACGTGGGCTTGGTTGCTAAGAAGACGATGCCTCCTCCCCTTCACCACACGCAGCTGACGCCTGAACGACAGGGAGTTGATGTACACAGAGCAGGGATCTAACAATGTCAACTGTGCTGACATCATCCTAGCTGTGCAGGGCTGATGGGAATTCAGAATATCAAACATCACATCAAGGGCAGTGAGCAGGTGTGACTCATTTCCCTGGAGAACCGGGAGAGAGGAAGGGAGAGGGCAGGATTATCTCACACTGACACACACACAAGCCTTTAGACTGAACTATTTGACTGGCTTATTTAAAAGCAGCAAAACATTGTTCTGTCTCTCTCTTCATTTTTCTACCGGAAACACTTTATATTCTAGTCCTTTGTGTCTCAGCATAGAATTGAGCCTTTCAACATCATAGTTTTTAAAAATACACATTATTTAGGATCATTACTTTTTATGTTACATAAACCAACTATGAGAACAATTCAAACAAAGAAATGTTATGTTCTTTTTTTTTCTCTTCAGGTATCATCTACTGAACTGTTCAGACGCAAATGAATTGAAAAGGAGATGAACAAGAGAGCACGATATAGGTCTGATGACATTGCTTTGGTATTACCAAATAAATATAGCGTTTCTGTATTCTAGCAGAGTGTATTACTTGGTATGAGAGAAGGGGTGCATGATAAATGCTCAGTAATTGCCCCTTGGGTGAATAATACAAGAAGCCTGTAAGTTTGTAAGCATGAATGTTAATACATAGATACTCACATATTTTATGGAGTTGATTATTTATCAATTGACTTTAAGGGATAATGAGTAATAAGACTGCATACAATAACAATTGTAGTGTTAGTGAAGTTACTGGTTTCACGAATCTCTTATCCATTGTAACATCTTATTAGAATGATTAGGCTAGGGCAATTAAATCAGAAAGGAGTGTACATCAAAACAGAAAAAAAGAAAAAACTCATCTGCTTCCAAAGGCTTAGTGTTTAATAGCAATGAAAGAGGATTGGTGACCTGACATGGTTGTATTCTCTCCAAAATGATCCCAATGTGTCTTGCCACTCTGAGAAGTACTAATTTATCTCTGTCTTGTGTCAGCCATAACACAAGGAACAAAAGGACAAAAATTGTTGTTATTCTGTACTCAATACTAAAAAGTACCACTTTTACTTCAATTTACTCTGCATGTTTAGTAAAATGGCATATGTATGACAGGTTGTGGAGCATATTGAAATCTGTGTGTATTGGCTGTTGTTAGTATAGCTTGAACAGCACAGAAACAGAAAGGTGTGTTTCAGATCAATCTATGGGTTACTACTCGTACAATACAGATAGTGTTGGAGGCAATAGGAGGGAAGAACAGGAAAAGAGAGGAGTGGCTTCTATAGAATTATATGTGGAATGCCATAAAGAATTCCAAGTTCTTGTTGTGAGATAACAAGTAAGTTGATAAGAGAGATGAAAATATGCTAGCGTGTTCCTAGAAGGCTTCCTAAATTTTGAAGGCAGATGTTGAGATACGTAGAAAAAATTTTCGTTTCATTTTCTCTGCTTTGAAAGTTAGTTGGTAAGGAATTATTCTGTCTCTCTCTCTCCAATTCCTAATACAGAGATTGAAATTCACACAATGTTTAATGATAATGTTTGATTGATGATAATGGCAATGATGATGATGATGTTGATGAAAGTGATAATCTGTAAACCCTAGAGTAGTGACTCTCAAACAGGCTCTTAGGATCCTCTAGAATATTACAGGGGAATATGTATATGTACCTAAAGAGTTGCCATCGTAATAGTCCTTGGATCATGACTGATATAAAAGTTCCCTCATGTTTTCTTCTTCCACTTCCAAAAGGATTTGCTCAAAAGTTGTTATGGGTCTTTTTTGAGATGTCTTATTTAACATGATGTGCTGCTATAGGACTTTCTAGGAAGGAAAGTGTGGTTAACACTGTTTTATTAACCCATAGAGAGAAAATGTCATCCCATATCACCAAGGGACAGAACAAGACTGCAGCTATCTCCCTTTGGGGGTCAACCTTACTACTCAACCTGAGATGCAAAGGAACAATTCAGAAGCCATATGGGGACAATTTTCATAAGTGCTTGGTAAATTCCTCTTTTCATATTTTGTTTGGGGAATGCATCACTGGGAGTCTTGCCTATGTTTCTTTTAATGGAAGTCATAGCTATTTTTCTTTGGATAATCACATCTAGTGAGGAAAACTCCTGGATAGTTCTGCTACCATAGAATAGATACTAAGTTAGATCAGATCTAAAAGAAGAATATAGGGTTCTTAAAAACTTCTTGAGTTTGACATGCAGAATAGAGCTAAAAATAATTAAATGCAGTGTTGACTGTGTCTTTGTTGACCACAGAGGGTTATAAAGCTATTATTAGTCTCCATCTAGAGGCTTTATGATAGAATTATATAATCAAGAATTATTACTACAGCTGAATTTACTTATTTATCTTGGAAAACTACAACCTATCAAATTTTGGGAATATATATATAAAGATAAAGGAAAGGTGAACTAGGTATGATACAGAATAAAACTGCTGTCACTACTAAAGCTTAAAATGCAGTGGTTTAAACAAAACAAGAGTTTATTTCTCTCTCATGTAACAGTCCAGAGTGGTAGGGGGGCTCTGCCAGCCTCAACCTGGATTCTTATCTCTGAGTCCAAGAGAGCAGTTTCATTTATCTCCATCTTTTAGACAGCAAATGGGAAGGTGAAAAGAAATCAGGGCATTGCATATTTAATTGTTTTAAAAGTCCTGAAAGTGGCACATATTACTTTCTTTCACATTACACTTGTCAGTAACATGAACACATTCAGCTGGAATCAAGTCTTAAGAAGGTCTTTTATTAGATAGCCAGGGGTCAAGCATGTTGGCTTACATCTATAACCCCAGAGCTTTGGGAGGCTGAAGCAAGAGGATCACTCAAGTCCAGGATTTCAAGGGTGCCATGAGCTATGAATATAACATGGCACTCCAGCCTGGGTGAGAGAGTGAGATCCTATTCCTAAAAAAATAAAAATAAAAATTAGGTAGCTGCATACTCACGTTAAACCACTACTATGGAAGAAAGGGAAAGGGAGAGCAGGTATTGGGACAACTAAGTTGGCCACAAGGCCTTGCTGCAAAGCCCCTAGGAGATCTGGGCTGGGAAGTTGCCAAGAAATAGCAAAGGACTCTACTATATAGTGCCCTGCAAGTCACCTTTGTAGTCCAGAAGAATCACTGTAACCTAAAGAAGGGTAATAGGTTTATAGTTGTATCAGTATCCAGAGGAGGAGCACCTGTATGGGGAAGTGAGAATATGTAGTGCCAGGATCAGTTGTTTCTCCTGGTGACATCAAAGAGAATGATTGTAAAGCTCCCTTAGAAGGCTTAGCAGGGACATGCATATCCTCAAGAGAGGCTAAGAAGGCCCAAGCTTTGGCCAGAATATAATGACCGGGTTAGCCAACAGACTTGGAAACCAAGTAATAAGGAAAAAGGAGACTTGGTGAATGTTATTGTGGGTGGGTAATGGAAAGAAATGTGCAGTGTAACAGAGAAAAGTCTTGCAAACATTGATCTCCACCCTTAGAATCTGAAGAACTCATAATGCTAGGAGCTGATTTTTGGAGTCTTCCAGAAAGCAAGATAGTAAAAGAAGCCATGATATCCAAGTTTTGGGGACCAGGATGAAGAACTACCAGACTGGGCTGAAGAAAAGTTGTACTTGGAGACCATAGCAAATTGCCCTAAGGGAGAAAGGGAATGTTGGTTCTCTAATTATGAACTCAAGGAAAAGTTGGAGTTGACTTTCATAGAAATTCTGTTTGGTGGCAGGGATGATAACTTCCCTCCAGCAACTTTTAGACTGGAGTTATAAAAACATTGGAACTTCAATGATGGAAATTCGGGGATATAATCTGCATTTAAGATTAACTAGTGGAGTCAGAATGGCTCTTATTAAGAAGTTAAAAATAACAGACATTGGTGAGGTTATGGAGAAAACGGGACTCTTATACCCCGCTGGTGGGAGTGTAAATAAGTTCAGCCACTATGGAAAGCAGTTTGGAGATTTCTCAAAGAACTAAGAATAGAATGACTATTCAACCCCATTATCCCATTACTGGGTATATACCCAATGAAAAAGAAATCATTCTACCAAAAAGACATCTGCACTTGTATGTTTATTGCAGCACTTTTTACAATAGCAGAGACATTAAATCAACCTAGGTGCCCATCAAGAGTGGAATGGGAAAAGGAAATGTGTGATAGATCTATACCAAGGAATATTATGCAGCCATGAAAAATAATGAAATTGGGTTCTTTGTAGCAACATGTGTGCAATTGGAGGTTGTTATCCTAAGTGAATTAATGCAGAAACAGAATGCCAAATACTGCATACTCTAATGTATAAGTGGGAGCTAAATAGTAGGTACACGTGGGAATATAAGATGGGAATCATAGACAGTGGGGACTACAAAAGGGGAGAAGGCAATGGTTTAAAACCACCTATTGGGTACGATGTTCACTATTTAAGTCATGGGATCAATAGAAGCCCAAACTTCAGCATCACAAAATATACCCATATAAGAAGCCTGCACATGTATCCACTGCATCTAAAATTAAAAAAAAAAAAAAAAAAAAAAAAAGATAACAGGTGGAGAAGGTGGTATCAGGAAGAGATTGGCAATTATGTGACTTTCTAGAAAAGGCTAAGTTGATTGTGGGCATATTGTTAGCTAATGTGACCATTTTCTTAGTTGTCCTACTGTTGTCAAGAAGGCTATCACGTGGTTGGGTGCAGTGGCTCATGCCTGTAATTCCAGCACGTTGGGAGGCTGAGGTGTGTGGATCACCTGAGGTTAGGAGCTTGTGACCAGCCTGGCTAACATGATGAAACCCCATCTCTACTAAAAATACAAAAATTAGCTGGGTGTGGTGGCAGGTCCCTGTAATCCCAGCTAGTTGGGGACTGAGGCAGGAGAATCACTTGAACCCAGGAAGTGAAGGTTGCAGTGAGCCGAAATCAGGCAACTGTACTTCAGCCTGGGAAACGAGCAAAATTCTGTCCCAAATAATAATAATAATAATAATTAATAATTAAAAAGAAGACTATCATATATTCTGTATAACTTAAAAAGGTACAGATTTGCCACCATGGTTTTAGTTAAAAATATACTGTCATGCAAAAATTACAGAGACTTCACTAATCCGCAGAAGATAAAGTTTCATGGCTATAGACATGAGGCATGGTCTTCAGAGCTGGTGGTGGTAGTTGGCAGGGCCAGGTATGGGTAATGCATACAGAACCCACAACTAATCCAGAAGATACTCTTGGCCCAAGTTGTCCATGAGTCACACTCATCCTCAAAAGATAAAAGTTGGAGGGTAACTTTAAGGGGTTTGAATTACTTTGAGGCTCTGAAAATCCTTGTCTTAACTAGATCTTACAAGGTTGTTTTGGAATCAACTTAGGTTGGTAGAGGTCATTGGATCTCCAGAACTTGTGAGGAGTGAATTCTGACATTGACATTAAAGTTGTCCCCTTGAGCCTGGCCCTTTCCAAAACTGAATGCTGGTATGGTTTTTAAAGTTTCATGGTTTTAAGCCTCGTGGTCTTAGCCAAAAAACATCACCCCTGGAAGTCTGCCTACTCTGCAAAAGGTACAGAGACAGAGTGGTTCTCCATCCAGGTAGAAACTACTTAAATGCATACCCACTAGTTTCACTGCAAATACAATAGTAGACTCAACCCACAACTCATAGAGGATTTATATTGCTCAAATGTTGACAGTGTAGTTTGTACTTTTGTAACAGCAGAGTCATAGCAACGTGATGAACAAGTGGCTATGCCTTTACGCGACTAAGACCAGCATTGTGATAGTATTTGGACAAGATACCCAGATTTTCTACATCCAGATCTTTACTGGCTACTCTAACCTAGAAAGTCCCCCAAAATTTTTCCATAGAGGATACAAATCAAGGATAATTAACATACTGTTATTGCTAGAGCTTTGAACACAAACTCCAAAGACCTATTTGCCTGGACATATATTGTCTTAGAAATTTAAGAGAAGTCCTTCACTTAAACAAAATATATTGAATGGCCTAAAACCAAAGAGACTAAAAAGCTCACTGACTTCATTTTCATCTTCCAGCTGAAACCTGGGTTTGTATATTACAATTTTGGCCTCATATACCATTGAGAATTAGAGGAAATGCAGTGTCATAAGACCTTTGCCTTGATGCCAAAGTAAAATGGATGAGGGTGTGGATATTTGAGTTGTATCTGATATCTTCAAAATCCTGGAACAATACCTGTCCAAGAGAAGACTGAAGGCCTTTTCTAATTCCTTCCAAAATATTCAACTCTTGGAAATGAAGCTGTGTGTGTCCTCTTATTTACCAATTTTTTCAGCCCATTTCCTATTTAAGGCTGCAGAGGAAAGCAGACAATGAAGAACATAGGTAGAGAGGAACTGACCATGTTTCCATCAACCTCGAAGCTTCTTAAATAGGTCAATAGTTACCTTATGCTTTCCAGAGATCTTCTATTTTTCTTGGCATAATGAAAATGTAAGAAATACACAATATTTATTGGATATCATCTATTAGTAACTCTGCTATTGAAGTGTTCATGCTTCTGGGTTCATTATGACATAGATTCTATGGATGAATATTGAGAAGGCTTGAATGAAAAATATTTAAGACCCAACAACAGATACAATGTGTGGCTCAGATCTTCACAGCAATTTCAGTGGCATAGAGTCCAGAGCTTTCACCATTAGGGTTAGTGCCCTGACTAGATCAAGCTTTTCCCCTTTCTTTGAGGAAATGCTGCCAGTGGTGAGTTCTGCACACATGCTTTAAATAGCTTTTTTTTTTTTTTTAACTGGATCCCTTGCTAATGTTAAGCTTTTTAGATATTATTGTCCTGATACGTATTTCAATCTTGTCTTTCTTATTTTGCAACGTTAATTTTGTTTTAAATCCCATATCTCCTGAAGTGCACCTCTTTCTTGCCTGGGGATGTGGTTTTCCATTTTGATTGAGGGATCCAACAATAAAGGCTCATCTCTTTACAAAGGACAATTTATTATTTATGTGAGTCAGAGAAATGTGTGGGAAGCTTTTTGCATTGTGTGGGAAGTGGAAGAACTGAATATCAAACCCATCTGATTGATAGTTATATTAAAGGTTGTCTTCAGTTAAATAAGTTCATTTGGATTGATATGATAAGAGCCTTATGTTTTACATGAAATATTGCTTTAGCAACTATTTGGTATTTTTATTTTATTGCTTAACCTGCTGTATTCTTCAACTGCTGTTCACCAGAGGATTACAAAAAATATTGTTGTAAAATGTTAATTGTTTAATACGTTTTGAAAAAATAATATTAAATAAAACTATGTTTTTGAACATTGTGTGAATCCTGCAACTGAATATTGACATTTAAGGTCCTAGGTTAGTGCACGGATCTGTTTTCAGCAGCTCTGAAAAATCCCTTAAGGCAATATTATTTAACATAATTGGTTTCTTAGCATACTGGGAGATAAGGAACAATGCAGCCTAGTGCTCCAATTTGGAACTGAAATGTTCATACAGATCAATGACAGCCTATGATTTCCTCTGTGCAAGGACTGGCAAAGTTTTCCAGGTTGAGATATTTTTCTTCGTTGTTTCCTTTTTTTTTTTTTTTGAGACAGCATCTTGCTCTGTCGCCAGGCTGGAGTGCAATGGGGTGATCTCGGCTCACTGCAACCTCCGCCTCCCTGGTTCAACTGATTCTCCTGCCTCAGCCTCCTCAGTAGATGGGATTACAGGCCGGTGTCACACCACCAACTAATTTTTGTATTTTCTGTAGCGATGGGGTTTCACCATGTTGGCCAGGATGATCTCAATCTCGACCTTGTGATCTGCCCACCTCAGCCTCCAAAGTGCTGGAATTATGGGCATGAGCTACCGCGTCCGACCCTCATTGTTTCCTTTTTTTTTTTTTGAATACCAATCCATCATAGGTTATTAGAGGGCACTTTAATTATTTATTTATTTGAGATGGAGCCTTGCTCTGTTGCCCAAGCTGGACTGCAGTGGCATGATCTCGGCTCACTGCAACCTCTGCCTGCCGGGTTCAAGCAATTCCTCTGCCTCAGCCTTTGGAGTAGCTGAGACTATAGGTGCGAACCACCATATCCGGCTAATTTTTGGTATTTTTAGTAAAAACAGGGTTAGATGGCACTTTAAAAAAGAAAATAAAATTCTTCTCTACAAACACAGTGATGATAAAGGTTGATAATTCCTTTTATGTTTTTAAATGTCATCAGGTTGCTTTTAACTTTTTTCTTATTTGGTTAGAAGTATTTTATAAGTGAAAAAGGTCAGTTTGAGCAATATCCTGAGCTAGTGACATTAATTCATTGTGTACATGAGCCACAGTGACTCAACTAGTTTTACCACTGTTTACAGAATCATAGTTAGATACTAAACGTATTTCTCTTAACAACATTTATATCATTTAAAAACTCATGAGTCCCCAAACCACATTGAAATAATAATAAATTGCCTTTAAACATTAAAATTATTTGTAACGTACTCCTTTTTGGAAACAAAATGGACCAGAAGAGGTTATCTTTTAAATCATTCTGTAATAAGTGGTGTTTGTTTGCCTTTGAATCTAAATCGAGTCCCCAGTTGGTGGTCTGTCCCTGGTTAAGACACATTGACAGCTAGACTTGTGGCTGCTGAAAAGGCATGAAACCATAAGCAGGAAAACACAAAAATGATCTGCACTAGAAGGCATTCACAGAAAGACTCCTGGGTAAGCTCTGTGACAGATGGCTTCCACTAAATTTGTTGGACGAGTTCAAGGATGCTTTTGAAAACAGAGATAATAAAACTCAGAGAGATGTGACAAGACTACAAACAATGCTTTATAAAAAGAAAATATTTTTTAAAATATTGCCAAAATAGAAAATAGTTAACTATTAAAAGTGAGTTTGTGAGTTGGGAGAGCCAATGGTAGGACATCTATCTCAACAAGGTAAAAACGGAGAGAGAAATCATGAGTGGAAAGCTCAGAAACGTGGGGTAAACAACCAGAAAATCAACACCTAACCAATGGGAAGGAGAAGGAGAACAAACTTAGGGAGGATAATTGAAAATTTTAAAATTAATGGATTTTTAAAATAAAGCCTATAAATTAAAAAGGCATTGCAGCCCAGGTAGGATTAATGAATATATACATATAGTACTTCTGATTGCAAATATTTGTGTGGGAATAGGGAAAAATATGGAAAGAGACGTAAACTGGTTAGCTTAGGAGAGTAGCGATGGAGGGAAGGGGAGGGAAGTGTACCCTCTTGGGGACAGTCTTAGAGATTTTCATATCTTCCTCAAGATTTTGAACAGCTTCTGAAAACAGTCCGAATGAAAATATCCCTTAAATTATACTTTTCTTTTTATTTGCCGTGTTCCTTCTAGACCTCAACAAAAAAAGTAAAATGGATTTTATCGTACTTAGAAAACCAACAATTGCAGTCTGGATTCAAACATCACTGTTTGACGCACCCAACTTGAGTCAAAAGATGCTTCAAATCCCACTATGCTGGAGGTAAATACACTCAAGATTTTAAGAATGTCTCTTGATAGTGTATAGAATAAGATAGCTTCTCAGCTTTCAGCTTTACTTCATGGTTTTAACTATCAAAAGAAGCAAGGTGAATAGGTCTTGTAACCAAGTGAGTGTTGCTAGAGCCAATCTATGAATTAGTTACACTCACTAATTTTAAATAAACCTAATTTTTAATACTTTAAATGATTTCTGTGAAATGTTGGATATAATGTCAATTCTTAAAGGAAGACCGATGTTTCATGTTGCATAATGATTCAGAGTATAAGCTGTAAATCCAGATTGTGTGCATGCAAAATCAGTCTGCCAACTACCACCTTTGAAACCTCGAGCAAGTAACTTAATTGCTGTAGGATTCAGTAACCTTTTCTGTAAGATGGGAATAATAGGAGTACCTGTATTCTAGACTTGTTGGAAAGGTCTTAGAACAGTTTCTAGCACATAGATATGCTAAGGCAATGATTGTTATTAATACTTACTGTATGCTTGATCATTAAGATTACAAACATACCTCAAGATTATGACTCACACATCAGAAACATGCACAGAGACCTGGAGACTGAAAGCAGTCTTTCAAAGTCTTCTAGCAACAGAAATACCTTACATGCACAGCTCAGGTATTCATTTTTTTGAAGTCTTTTATTTCTTTATAACTTCTCATTTTTGTTCTTTTTTTTTTTTTTTTTTTCTCAAACCCAGTGGAAGTTTTTTGGACTTTTTAATGCCTGTGGTTATAGCTATTACAATGGGCTTCTGTATTAGTTGCATATTGCTCTGTGACAAACTACCCTAAAATTTAGATTCTTAAAATAATAACAGACTTACATTATCTCTGGCAACTTCTAGCTGAGTGATTCTGGCTCAGGGTTTCTCAAAAGAGTGTAGTAAAGATGTCATTTGTTGTTGCAGCCATCTGAAAATTTGCCTGAGACCAAAGAATCTATTTCTGCGATGACTCCCTCAAGTAACCAAGTGTGTGCTGGTGGTTGGTGGGAGGTATCAGTTTCCCACCACGTGAACCACTTCATATGATTGGAATGCCACAATATCTTTAATGACTTCACCTTGGAAGTCACATTCTATCATTTTTGCAATATTTTATTGATTATTCAGTGTGGAAGGAGACTACACAAAAACATGAATACCAGAAGGCTAGAATCCTTGGGGCCATCTTAGATACTGACTAACCTAGCATTTTTACCTATTCATATATTTCATTTACTCAGTGCATCTGTCAGTATCATTTATAGCCAATGCACTAGGCCAGGTGCTGCAGTGGGGCATAAAGGTGTGTAAGTTGAAAGTCCTGCTCTTTAAAATTTAATACTTGGTGAAAGGGTTGAAACACCTACTCCCATAACTGCAGTACAAGGTAATATAGGACAAATAGCAAGGATGTAGTGATGTTGGTAAGCACCTCAGGTGTTCAGAGGAAGGGGAGCAATTTCTTGTTGGGGTTTCAGAACAAAGGGAATGTGATCTGGGTCTCAGAATAAAATAGGATCACTGTGGACAAAGACAAGTGAAAATACATCTCATGCTGAGTGAACAATGTGAATAGGATCATGAAGGATCGTGAAGTTGAGAAAGCAAGCTGAGTTCAGGGGCCAGCAACCAGACTACTTTAGAATAGCTTATGTAGAAAGTAGAAAGATAAAGATAGGGAAAAGTAGGCAGAGACCAGTTTATGCAAGTCCTTGGAAGCTATGTTAAAATTTTTGAGTCTACTCAGCAAATACTGGGAGCAGATAAAATTTTTTGAGATGGTAAGTAATGGGACAAAATGTTTACTCTTTTAGTTTACTCTCCAAGGGGAATCAGAGAGTGAGAAATCAGAGACATAGAAACAGGGTAGGAAGAACTCACAATAAGGAGAGAAGGTAATAACCATAAATATTATAAGTAGAATTAGAAAGGAATAATCTTGAAGGAGGAATTTGAAGAAGTTTGTAATTCATTGTATACCACATTTGAAAAAGCTGTCCCAATAACTTGAGATTTGCTACCTGTTTTGGAGGAGAAGTTGGTTTAAAGAGGAAAATGGTTTAAAGAATTTGTTTTAGGACACATCAGTTAAAAAGAACTTGAGTATTCTTCGTATGTTCTCTTTTTCTTTTCCTGCACTGAAGCTTAATCTCTTTGGGTAGTTGCTTCCTGAGATGAATCCTGGGAACTTGGGGAGTTGGGGAATCCTAGCGCTGAGGTGAGGAAAGAGGGCAGTGTGGGAAAGAACAGGGCTAGAATCTGTGAAAATTGAGTTAGTTGGCTCCAGAGTCTGTTGAGCTCTGGTAATCATGATGGTGGACAAGGGATGGGATTGTGAGAAAATGATGAACTGAAAAATAATGTAGTGACTGAGGTCACAGAATTTGAAATCATACAGGCATGATAAAAAATCCAGGTCTCCATTTCTAGCTGACCTTGGCAAAATGCATAATTTGCAGAAAGCTCATTTGCCTAACCTGTAATAAATAGGATTCATAATAGGGTCTTGTGAGGTTTCAATGAAATGTTTGGCATATCAAGCTTTCAGCATGGTGGCTGGCACATAGAAAACACTCTGTAATGAACAGTGGATTTATTGAAATGGTGGGCTTTATGCTACTACAAAAAGAGATTGATACTGTCCCAGGATCTTTTATACCAGGTGAGTAGAATTACTGATCTCTTTTGGAATCTGATTAATGCCTTACTGCATACAGCTGGAGGGAGGTGAGTATTCCTTCTTGAGTTATTTTCGCATATGATGTAAGGAAAGGGTCCAGTTTCAGTTTTTTTGCACATGGCTAGCCAGTTTTCCCAACATCATTTATTAAACAAGGAATCCCTTCCCCATTGCTTGTTTTTGTGAGGTTTGTCAAAGATAGATGGTTGTAGATGTGTGGCATTACTTCGAAGGCCTCTGTTTTGTTCCATCAGTCTATATCTCTGTCTTGGTACTAGTACCATGCTGTTTTGATTACTGTAGCTTTGTAGTACAGTTTGAAGTCAGGTAGTGTGATGCCTCCAGCTTTGTGGTTTTTGCTTAAACTTGTCTTGGCTATGAGGGCTTTTCTTGGGGTTTTTTTTTTGTTTGTTTGTTTTTTTGTTTTTGTTGTTGTTGTTGTTGTTGTTGTTCCATATGAAGTTTAAGGTGGTTTTTTAGAGAAAAATGAATGAAAAGGAATGAACAAAGTTTTTATAAAGTCCCAAGAAATATGAGACTTTATTAAAAGACTGAACCTATGACTGAGTGGAGTACCTGAAGGAGACAGCCTGAATAGAAACAAGCTAGAAAGCACACTTCAGGATATTATCTAGGAGAACTTCCCCAAACTAGCAAGACAGGCCAACAGGCAAGTTCAGGAAATACAGAGAACACCACTAAGATACTCCATGAGAGGATCGACCCCAAAACCCCAAGACAGATCATCATCAGATTCTCCAAGGTTGAAATGAAGGAAAAAAATAATTAAGGGCAGCCAGAGAGAAAGGCCAGGTCACCTACAAAGGGAAACTTGTCAGACTAATAGAGAACCTCTCAGCAAAAACTCTACAAGCCAGAAGAGATTGGGGGCCAATATCAACATTCTTAAAAGAATTTTCAACCCAGAATTTCATATCCAGACAAACTAAGCTTCATAAGCAAAGGAGAAATAAAATTATTTCCAGACAAGCAAATGCAGAGGGAATTTGTTACCACCAGGCCTGCCTTGCAATAGCTCCTGAAAGAAGCACTAAATATAGAAATAAACAAAAAAACAGTACTAGCCACTGCAAAAACACACCAAAATATAGAGACCAATGACACTATGAAGAAACTGCATCAACTCTTGTGCAAAATAACCAGATAGCACTATGATCTCAGGGTCAAATTCACACATAATAATACTAACCTTAAATGTAAATGGACTAAATGTCCCAATTAAAAGACGTAGACTGGCAAATTGGACAGAGTCAAGACCCATTGGTGGGCTATATTCAGTAGATCCATATCACCTGCAAAGACACACATAGGCTCAGAATAAAGGAATGGAAGAATAGTTACCAAGCAAATGGAAAGCAATAAATAAATAAAATTTAAAAATCAGGGGTTGCCATTCTAGTCTCTGAGAAAACAGATTTTAAACCAACAAAGATCAAAAAAAGACAAATAAGGGCATTACATAATGATAAAGGGAACAATTCAACAAGAAGAGCTAACTATTCTAAATATGTATGCACCCAATACAGGAGCACCCAGATTCATAAAACAAGTTCCTAGAGACCTACAAAGAGACTTAGACTCTCACACAATCATAGTGGGAGACTTTAACACCCCACTGTCAATATTAGATCAATGAGACAAAATTAACAAGAATTATTCAGGACTTGAACTTAGCTCTGGATAAAATGGACCTAAAAGAAATATACAGAACTCTCCATCCCAAATCAACAGAATATACATTCTTCTCGGTGCCACATGGCATTTATTCTAAAATTGACCATATAATTGGAAGTAAAACACTCCTCAGCACATGCAGAGGCACTGAAATCATAACAAACAGTCTCACAGACCACAGTGCAATCAAATTAGACCTCAGGATTAAGAAACTCTCAAAACCGCACAATTCATGGAAAATGAACAACCTGCTCCTGAATGACTCCTGGGTAAATAATGAAATTAAGGCAGAAATCAACAAATTCTTTGAAACCAATGAGAACAAAGACAGAATGTACCAGAATCTCTGGGACACAGCTAAAGCAGTGTTAAAAGGGAAATTTATAGCACTAAATACCCACACCAGGAAGCTAGAAAGATCTCAAATCGACATCCTAACATCACAATTAAAAGAGCTAGAGAGGCAAGAGCAAACTAATCCAAAAGCTAGCAGAAGATGAGAAATAACTAAAATCAGAGCAGAATTGAAGGAGAGACATGAAAACTCCTTCGAAAAAATCAATGAATCCAGGAGCAGTTTTTTTTGAAAAACTTAACAGAATACATGAACCACTAGCTACACTAATAAAGAAGAAAAGAGAGAAGAATCAAAGATACATGATAAAAAATGATAAAGGGGATATTACCACTGACCCCAATGAAATATAAACTACCATCAGAGAATACTATAAATACCTCTATGCAAATAAAACAGAAAATCAAGAAGAAATGCATAGATTCCTAGACAAATACATCCTCCCAAGACTAAACCAGGAAGAAGTTGAATCCCTGAATAGACCAATAATAAGGTCTGAAATTAAGGTAGTAAGTAGTAATAGGCTACCAACCAAAAAAGGCCAGGACCAGATGGATGCACAGTCGAATTCTACCAGACAAAGAGGAGCTGGTACAATTCCTTCTGAAACTATTCCAAACAAATGAAAAGGAGGGTCTTCGCCCTAGCTCATTTTATGAAGCCAGCATCATCCTGATACCAAAACCTGGCAGAGACATAACAAAAAAAAAAAAAAAAAGAAATCTTCAGGCCAATATCCGTGATGAACATTAATGTGAAAATCCTCAATAAAATACTGGCAAACTGAATCCAGCAGCACATCAAAAAACTTACCCACCACGAGCAAGTCAGCTTCATCCCTGGGATGCAAGGCTGGTTCAACATGTGCAAATCAATAAATGTAATCCATCACATAAACAAAACCAAAGACAAAAACCACGTGATTATCTTAATAGATGGAGAAAAGGCCTTTGAGAAAATTCAACATCCCTTCATGTTAAAAACTCTCAATTAGCTAGGCATGGTGGCTCACACCTGTAATTGCAGCACTTTGGAAGGCCGAGGGGGTGGATCACTTGAGGTCAGAAGTTTGACATCAGTCTGATCAGTGTGGTGAAATTCCATCTCTACTAAAAATACAAAAATTAGCTTGGAGTGATGGTGCATGCCTGTAATCCCAGCTACTTGGGAGACTGAGGCAGGAGAATCGCTTGAATCCAGGAGGTTGAGGCTGCAGTGAGCTGAGATTGCACCACTGTACTCCAGCCTTGGCCACAGAGTGAGACTCCATCTCAAAAAACAAACAAACAAAAACAAACCCTCTCAATAAACTAGGTATTGATATCTCATAATAATAAAAAGATATTTATGATAAACCCATAGCCAATATCATACTGAATGGGCAAAAGCTGGAAGCATTCCCTTTGAAAATCAGCACAAGACAAGGATGCCCTCTCTCACTACTCCTATTCAACATAGTGTTGGAAGTTATGGCCAGGGCAATCAGGCAAGAGAAAGAAACAAAGGGTATTAAAATAGGAAAAGAGGAATTTAAATTGTCTCTGACTATGATATGATTTTAAATTTAGAAAATCCCATCATCTCAGCCCCAAAACGTCTTAAGCTGATAAGTTCAGCAAAGTCTCAGCATACAAAATCAATGAGCAAAAATCAGAAGAATTCCTTTACACAAACAGTAGACAAGCAGAGAGCCAAATCATGAATGAATTCCCATTGACAATTGCTGAAAGAAAAATAAAATACCTAGGAATACAACTTAGAATAGATGTGAAGGACCTGTTCTGGGAGAACTACAAATCACTGCTCAAGGAAATAAGAGAGGACACAAACAAATGGAAAAACATTCCATCTACATGGATAGGAAGAATCAATAAATCAATATTGTGAAAATGGCCATAGTGCCCAAAGTAAATTATAAATTAAATGCTATTCCCATCAAACTACCATTGATATTCTTCACAAAATTGGAAAAAAACTACTTTAAATTTTATGTGGAATCAAAGAAGACCCCGTATAGCCAAGACTATCCTAAGCAAAAAGAGCAAAACTAGAGGCATCAGGCTACCTGACTTCAAACTATAATACAAGGCTACAGTATCAAAAATAGTATGTTACTGGTACCAAAACAGATATATAGGCCAATGTAACAGAACAGAGATCTCAGAAATGTCACCACACATCTACAACCATCTGATCTTCGACAAACCTGACAAAACAAGCAATGGGGAATGGGTCTCCTGTTTAATAAATGGTGCTGGGAAAACTGACTAGCAATATGCAGAAAACTGAAACTGGACTCTTTCTTTACGTTGTATGCAAAAATAACTCAAAATGGAATAAAACCTTAACTGTAAAACCTAAAACCATAAAAACCCTAGAAGAAAACCTAGGCAATACCATTAAGGACACAGGCATGGGCAAAGACTTCATGAAGAGAACACCAAAAGTAATTGCAACAATAGCCATAACTGAGAAATGGGATCTAATCAAACTAAGGGGCTTCTGCACAGCAAAAGAAACTATCATCAGAGTGAACAGGCACCTTATGGAATGGGAGAAAATTTTTGCAATCTACCCATCTGACAAAGATCTAATATCCAGAATTTACAAGGACCTTAAACAAATTTACAAGAAAAAAAACAACCCCATCAAAAAGTGGGCAAAGGATATGAACAGACACTTCTCAAAAGGAAACATTTACGTGGCCAACAAACATATGGAAAAAAAGCTCAACATCACTGATCATTAGAGAAATTCAAATCAAAACCACAGTAAGGTATCATCTCACACCAGTCAGAATGGCAATTATTAAAAATTTAAAAAACAACAGATGCTGGCAAGGCTGTGGAGAAATAGGAATGCTTTTACACTGTTGGTGGGAACGTAAATTAGTGCAATCATTGTGGAAGACAGCATGGCAATTCTTCAAGGATCTAGAACCAGAAATACTGTTTAACCCAACAATTTCATTACTGAATATATACCCAAAGGAATATAAATCATTCTACTGTAAAGACAGATGCATACATATGTTTATTGCAGCACTATTTACAATAGCAAAGTCATGGAACCAACCCAAATGTCTATCAATGATAGA